TTCTGATAAGTACTAAGTATGCTTGCCAAGCTGCGCGCAATGCTCGTCGTGGGGAAACATTTGCGCAACTCCCAGACAAACACCTTTGAGCCACTTCGCTAAAATAGCCGCCTCCTTAGTGATCAATTGCTGACTACATCCACCACGCTGTGAAACCCTGCCCCACATGAAACCAAACATATAGCCAAAGGACAGACCCATTGAAGAACTTCTGCACAAGCGTAGGGTAATTCTTTTTGCCAAGGGGGTAGAGTTGTTTCCTGCACATCACATATGTAATACATCCATGCATCTAAAAACAACGGAATCCTCCAAACACATCCAAAAACTAAACATCCTGTCACCACACCGCTGCAACCGAGAATCAGCATGGAAAATTGTCCCTTGTTTCCTTAGGTGCATTGATGTGCAACCAGTACCATCATCGACCATGTTTTTTCCATTTGGCCGCACAAACTGCAACCCAGCAACGCACACCATGTCTTTTGCATTCCCTGCAAAAGTCCACATAGGCCAGACGAAGCTGCAGTGCATACTAGTTACAATTCAAAGAATCAGAGAAGGTCAGAGAGGCAATGGGGAAAAGCAACAAGAAACCAAACATCAATCACCCAAACAAAACTGACTAAACGTAGCTTAAGCTGCACTAGCTGAGGCTTCTGGAGTTATTGCTAAATCGACCAGGTGTAACCAATCAGTCAGAACCATTGATAAGTCGAAGCCAGGAACCCTCACCCATGGATTTGGAAGGCACCCATCTGTGATAAACCCAAGTGTTGTTTGAGGTGTAGACCGATGTGGCGCGCCTTCGCCAAACGCCGAATAAACCAATTGGCCACTAGCAGTGGCGCCACAATACATGCAGCATTTTTCAGAGGTCCGGGAAGTGGTCAGTTTCAAAGCTTTTTGGAGGAATTTTTGATCCCCCTTAAGCGCGTACAAGACACCCCTGTAAGGTCCACAAACTGGTCCAGAAAACTTTCTCTCACAAGGTTGCCCATACACATCAACAGTCATGAATTGACCTGTTTGTAGTTCGACCAATCCGTACACCACCCACGCATCAAGGGTTTCAATTGTTTCTGGCAACGAGTGGTTGACATCCATCACATACACCAAGAACCTTTGGTCCCATGGGGACTTACCCCCCATCAAAGGGCTACTGATTGTAGTCACAGTAAAACTCCTGCGGCGATGCGATTCCGCGTCATCCCCATGGCACAGGATAGGAAATACTAATGATAAGTCCACATCCTTATGCGCAATGCTGCACACATGTTCACTGAGTATCACAAAACTTACCACAAAAAAACATTCTGCACACAATAAGTTCTGACAAAGATCGGGATCGCTCAGGATAGGATGGTTCAAAAACCAATCCCGTGATTGCTGTGCGCGCCAGAACGATTCCAGCACCTAAGTCCAAGTCACCCATGCCCCCCCCTCAGCATGAAGTAAACGCAAATTGCATCTAGGCACACCGGGAGGGCCAATCCATCGTTCGTGGAAAAGAGCTTGATCATAAGTATACATCGCATGGATCCTTGGCCCATAAAAGTTAAAGTATGTGAAAACTGATTCTGTGGCAGGCCCAGTACTAAGCGACCACTGGAAATTTCAAATGAGGTGCAGGTCACTGGGCAAGAACATATGCCATTTTCCCAAGTAGACAGGGTCTGGGCGACTTCGATCCGTCAAGACTAGATCAATCCTGGGCAACGGAGTGGAATTGGTGGCATTGGGATAGTGATCAGATCAAAACAACAGGAACTTCTATACAAAATCCTTAGTAGCTAAGTTGCTTTTTTGGTGACGGTAACATTTTTCTCCATGGTTGCCGGTTCAGCCATCTCCAGAAATCTCGGCCAACATGTTTGGATCCCTCATCACCAATCTTCACCAAGTCTTTCAGGTTGGCCCTGGGCAAAGAATAGTCGACAAGTATGTACTTTGGGAGATGCCTAAGGGGGATCCCACATGCAGGGTTCTATATCACGTTTTCGATATCATACTCCGTGCATATTACATATAAGATGCGTTCAAAACATATATGATAAAATTGAACATTTTTTTTAATCTCTTATGAGGCCAAGTGGCGGGAGATGTCGACCAGGAATGCGTCGGCGTAGGACCCGTAGAAACTCTACTAATGTTTGGACGCTTACCTTAGCTCATTGTTGTACCCAAACGGGTTTCCTATTTAAAAAAAACAACACAATTGCATGGTAATATTGCAGTTGAGATACGAGTTTCCCCAATTCCAGAAATTCTTCAACCAAATCCATACAGAGGCATGATCCACATGGCTGGATGCTGGCAAGTGCCCAACATAAATTAAACAATTCCCTCTTTTGTCAAAATTGTTTTTTTGATTCCATATGGTTCAAGGAGTAGTCCATTGATAAGAACATTGCATGTGTTATTGATCAAACTGTTGTTACACTGGCTTGGGTTCCAACGGCCAGAGCTGACTCAAAGATCTACCACGTCAATCCTGCCTACTTTACTGATAAGTTTTAGGTGGCTTTTGAATGGGTTCACAAAGCTCTCAAAAGAACAGTTGATCACACACTCAATTTACTCCCGGTCATCCTGCGTGGCGAGCATTGCGTGTGCAACAGCGGCCACGACAGGCCAATAAAGATTTGGAAAGTCAGACATTCACGCCTGACAGTTGTGCGGAGGCCTAGGATCTGAGATCAAGCGGCCATCTGATCAAATCTAAAATTTGAATTAAACCACATGGAGACCATCCAAGCACTGACAACATAATATGTGAGGGATAGTTCAATTGTGGTTGGCATCTTTCCTTCAAAGGGCCCAGAAGAAATAATTTCAGGTCCCATCTGTTGTGGTCACTGCATGATATCACGCCTGCGAGTGTGCAGCTAGGGTCATGAATTGCAAAGGGCAAGCCCCGCAGCAGGTCGTGAAAGGTAATGTTTGGGTTCAAATTATAGTCTTTGAACAAGTTGTTTAATTAAACATCCATCATCCAACAAGTGTGATCACTCAAGTTCTGACTCATCCTCATCATCAGGGGCAGGAGCCTTAGGTTTCTTAGGCTTGGGGCCCTTCGCAGCATTCAAACGGCGTTTGCCGTCCGAGACATCACCAACAATGACCTTTGCCGTATCTTTCTCGGATGCCAGATCGGACATCACACTCATGGGGTCCAAATCGGACACTGGAATCTTCAACAAGTTGTCAGTGCGAGTAAATCCAGCAAGAGCTTCACCTTCATGCTTCCGAAGGGCATCTACCTAGCGTGAATTTGGATTTTGTTGGTGCATAAAAAATGTTTTGAATCCTTGTGAGACTTGACAGCTGTTAAACATATTGCAAATCGAGACACCAGCTCTGTGCAGTTCCTCACATTGTGTACTTGGAGATCAGAAACCAACTTGGGAATTTCATTGATCAGCTGCTTGAACCTGGGGTGGTTGAATCCAGAGCGACCAACGGTGTAACACTACCCCAACTCAAAAATACCAGTTGACCAAAAGAAATAACTTACATGAATGAAGTCTAAGATCTTTTTATTCACCTTCTTTATCTCAATCTGTGCTTCCTCTTGGGGGCTCTTTTCTTTCTTCGGTTTCTTTGAACGAATTGCACCAGTTGTAAGGTCCATGAAAGCTGGCATGGACCCATCCACCCCCTGAAGCTGTTTGGCAAGCAATTGCTTGGCACCCCCATCTCGGACTCTTCCAGAAAGACTCGCCTCAGATAGTTAGTAAATGAAGAACCCTATTTCAATACTATGTTCTTGAATACCATCCTTGGTAGCTAACACTAACATAACAATATCAGCATGTATAAAAAGGTAAAGGGAACAAAGCGAGTCACTGAGGAGGTATAGTCAGAGCCAGTTGTGTTTTCTTCCATTACCTCCCGCAAGACTTTGAACATTCTGGCTTTCTTGCTCGACGGGGCCTGCCAAGGCCGCAACAAACGAAAGAGTGCAGCCGAGAAAGCCTCAACATCAAGCACAAGCCACACCAGGCCTGTGGGTGCGGCACCCCTTGCTGACCTAAGATTCGGCGTGACTTATAAGGTGGAATAATTGGATCGGCTACTAAACATTGCCAATGAAATATGGCATCACAAATCAATACAAATCAACAGGGTCTTTTGGGTTTATCCAAGTGTCCGCGGCACAACTCCGCTATGAATTCTTTGGCCTCCTGAGACTTCCCGAACATTTTCTCCAGCTGGAAAACTGTCACCTCAGGAAAAAAAACATGAGGATGGAGGGGGTATTGCACCTACTGTCATGATATCTAGCCACCATAAACTTTTAAAGTAACTCGGGAAAACACTACTGGGGGTATGGCTGTCACATAGCGGTCTGTGCGCAAGGAACGCACCCAGGAGACATACTTTTCTTCGATCTCGATCTCTCCCAGGTCTTGGTTTTGGACCCATGATTTCAACATCTGAAACCTGAGCTCACACATGATAAATTGATATCTGACATCTTATGGATATACCGTTTAATTGTCAAGAATCAAGACATATACTTGCACTCATGGAACCGTTCTTTGTCCGAACACAACGAGAACTTTGCCACAAGTTCAGGTTTGGCATCCTTGTAGATAGCACGGCGCATCGCTGCATACTGTCTTTTGCGTTCCTTAGGGAAGGCTACCCATAGGATGAATTATGTTAATTGAGGTTTATTCAAACTATTTTTCAGGTAGTTCATTGGGCATCATGGGGCTGAGGTGGCAGCTTTACCCATGGATAAGCACCAGACTATATATTTTAGCTAAGGATCTTCATAGGGCATGTCAGATGGCTTTGACATGGACGCTATTTTGCCCTTTTCCTCCTCGGTTAAGTCCTTCTTCCGGGCCACCCTCGTTGATGATGGCGGCGTCGACTGGGTTTGGGCTGGAGTGTCCTAAGTGGATTGGGATTCAACCTAGGTGTTTTTCATTTACCACCCCAAAATTGATGCAGCTATGAATGACATACATACAATTTGAAAAAGTAATCTAAGGGTCTGCTGCCTCATCGAATTCAGAGTCCAAATCTCGAGTGACTCGGCTCTTCTGAGAAAAGGGTGGTGACAGAAGTCCTCCGAAATCGAGGCTTTCCAAAGTCGATGTCTTTTCGATCAACATCTCCTGGAGAGAAGTAGTTGGGATAGACTTGATGGGATTCGTTCAAGATCTATTGGTCCTAGTCCTTTGGAGGAATATGTAATATGAATGTATATGACATACTTAAAGTCAAGGTTTGAAGGAACCACCAAAGTCAAAATGTCAAAGTAGAACAGGTTAAAGATCCCAATGTACACACCTGTAACCCAAACCCATGGTAAGATTCTGTCCTGACTTAGACTTTCCTTTGCTTTTCCATCGTCTTTACCATCCTTTATGGCTTTTGCATTCCTGTCATCTTCATGTGTCTCTGCCTTTCTCTTTGGTTTGATATGTTTGCTCTTGCCATCCTGTTGCTCCTTCTCAGTGGGTTTATCTCCTTCACTTCCACCGGCTGCACTGGTCGCAACCAACGGTCTGGGCACTGCCAGGACAAGGCTCATCTCAGTGTGATCCTGCTCATCCTGCTGCTTCTCTTCTCCTTCTTTCCTTGTCGCCTTGCTGTTGGTCTTCTTTTCCTTCTTCGGCGTCTCATCTTCCTTCGTCTTGCTGGCTGCTGCACTGCTCGCTCGAGCTTCGGTCTTTTTCTCTTCATCTCCTGCCTTCTTCTCCTTTGCTTTCTCCTCAGTCTTTCTCTTCTCTCCTGTGGCCTTATCTTTCTTCTCCTTTGCTTCCTTTGCTTCTGCAGAGCCCGATGGCTTCACTTCTGGCTGTGAAACCTCATCTGCCATCTTCTGTTTCTTCTTGGGCTTCTCATCTTCCTTCGTCTTGCTGGCTGCTGCACTGCGCACTGGAGCTTCGGTCTTTTTCTTCTCATCTCCTGCCTTCTTCTCCAAGCCCGATGGCTTTACTTCTGGCTGTGAAACCTCATCTGCCATCTTCTGCTTCTTCTTGGGCTTCTCATCTTCCTTCGTCTAGCTGGCTGCTGCACTGCTCGCTGGAGCTTCGGTCTTTTTCTCTTCATCTCCTGCCTTCTTCTCCTTTGGCCTCTCCTCAGTCTTTCTCTTTTCTCCTGTGGCCTTATCTTTCTTCTCCTTTGCTTCCTTTGCTTCTGCAGAGCCCGATGGCTTCACTTCTGGCTGTGAAACATCATCTGCCATCTTCTGTTTCTTCTTGGTCTTCTCATCTTCCTTCGTCTTGCTGGCTGCTGCACTGCTCGCTGGAGCTTCGGTCTTTGTCTTCTCATCTCCTGCCTCCTTCTCCTTTGCCTTCTCCTCAGTCTTTCTCTTTTCTCCTTTGGCCTTATCTTTCTTCTCCTTTGCTTCCTTTGCTTCTGCAGGGCCCGATGGCTTCACTTCTGGCTGTGAAACATCATCTGCCATCTTCTGCTTCTTCCTGGGCTTCTCATCTTCCTTCGTCTTGCTGGCTGCTGCACTGCTCGCTGGAGCTTCGGTCTTTTGCTTCTCATCTCCTGCCTCCTTCTTCTTTGCCTTCTCCTCAGTTTTTTTCTTCTCTCCTTTGGCCTTATCTTTCATCTCCTTTGCTTCTGCAGAGCCCGATGGCTTCACTTCTGGCTGTGAAACCTCATCTGCCTTTTTCTCTATCTTCTTGGACTTCTCATCTTCCTTCGTCTTGCTGGCTGCTGCACCGCTCGCTCGAGCTTCAGTCTTTTTCTCTTCATCTCCTGCCTTCTTCTTCTTCTTTGCTTTCTCCTCAGTCTTTCTCTTTTCTCCTGTGGCCTTATCTTTCTTCTCCTTTGCTTCCTTTGCTTCTGCAGGGCCCGATGGCTTCACTTCTGGCTGTGAAACTTCATCTGGCTTTTTCTCTATCTTTTTGGACTTCTCATCTTCCTTGGTCTTGCTGGCTGCTGCACTGCTCGCTGGGGCTTCGGTCTGTTTCTTCTCATCTCCTGCCTCCTTCTTCTTTGCCTTCTCCTCAGTCTTTTTCTTCTCTCCTTTGGCCTTATCTTTCTTCTCCTTTGCTTCCTTTGCTTCTGCAGAGCCCGATGGCTTCACTTCTGGCTGTGAAACCTCATCTGCCTTTTTCTCTATCTTCTTGGACTTCTCATCTTCCTTCGTCTTGCTGGCTGCTGCACCGCTCGCTTGAGCTTCAGTCGTTTTCTCTTCATCTCCTGCCTTCTTCTTCTTTGCTTTCTCCTCAGTCTTTCTCTTTTCTCCTGTGGCCTGATCTTTCTTCTCCTTTGCTTCCTTTGCTTCTGCAGGGCCCGATGGCTTCACTTCTGGCTGTGAAACATCATCTGCCATCTTCTGCTTCTTCCTGGGCTTCTCATCTTCCTTCGTCTTGCTGGCTGCTGCAGTGTTCTTTGGAGTTTTGGTCTCTTTTGCATGCTTCTCCTTTGCCTTCTCCCCAGTCTTTCTCTTTTCCTTGTCTTCACCATGGTTGGCCTCTGTTTTTTTCAGTTTCTCATCCTTCTCCTTCTCCTCCCGTCTCTTAGCTCTACGTTTATCCTCCTCAACAGCCTCGATGAGTTTTCTCCTTTGCTCTTCCCACTCTAGATGGGCTTTGGGTGGACAAGGCGTGGCTTTTGCCATTCTGATAGCTTCAGAACTACCAGTTGGGTTTTTCTTACCCATTGGACCTACCCTATTTGTATCGTGCCTTTTGCACTAGGACTTGGAACCCGAGCCAGAAATAAATTCCCCATGGTTGCGTGTGAAACTCCAGTTGAGGTATGCAAAATCGACACGCAAATGACACGCAGGGGGACCCCTGATTTCAAATGACACGTTTCCAACGGCTCACAATTGGCTTATACAATAGGACCTATGTACTGCAATTGGTGGGCCAACCCCTCAACCCAATGACACGCAAATGACACGCTTTGACACGCACTATTGGCCTATTTTCCGACAACTTTGCAGGTTCTGGCCCAGTGTCGGGACAACAGGCGCGTGACCACTTTGGAGCTGGTGAATGGTGAAGGGCTGAGACACCGGGGGGTATTTCTAAATTAGCCCAATTTTCATCAAACACATCTATCAGAAACCAAAGATATTAAGGGATTATAAAGGTCTCCACCAATGTATCTTTGGGCCCCGTTCCACACCCAGCCAAAGCTAATTAGGCCATCGAAGCAGCTTTATTCTGGGCTGCCTTCTCTTCAGCTAGCATCGACTGAACTGAAACCTCTTCACATTTGCAATCACGAGAGATTGCTTGGGCTGGTCCATAAGGCTTTCCATCAGTCCTGAATTATAGATTTGGCAAAAGGTCAAAGGGTTTGATATGCATTTGGGATTGCAATTGGGAATAGCGTGGTAGTGGATGTGTAGCCAAGGGTCTCCACAAGGTAAGTTTGAATAACACCCAGCCAACAGCTCAGGCATGCTCGATCATGGCGTGCGATAGATAATCGCTCCAAGATTTTGGGGCAAACTGGCATGGTCGAAATCTATCCGTAGATCGCCTTATTTGTTTCCAGCCTAAATACTGCAACACAATTTGTTCTTTTGGCAGCGTTGTAAATTCGCACAGAAAACCCGAGGGGCATAACCCCAAACATTTTTCTCAACGTCACTCTCTGCGCAGACTAATTAGATTTCAGTTCAGAAGGTGGCTATATTGACATACAGGAGATGGGTGTTTCCCTCATATAAGCAACACATTTTGTATAGGTGACTAGCATGTAGAACTTGAAGTTGTCGCAGTGAATCACCACACCAATCCCCCGTACGGAACTATTGAATTAGCCTCCACCAAGTTTTACGAGGCCCTTTCAGCAAATCATCCAGGGCACCTAAATCTGAACCAGTTCCTTGATATGAAACATCGATTTCGTCATTCGACGGCCGCTTCCCAGTCACTGGTAACAGGCCAGCAATGGCCCAAGCAAAGTCCCGAGGATACACCGCTGATTGCTCCAAAGCTTTTTTGATACCCACCTGAGATTTGGAGATTCGATGTGAACCACCCATATTATTATCAAATTTATTGTCCAATCAACCCACATTAGTCATGTGTTAACATGCAAATATATAAGATTCTTTGCCACCAGTAAACCAAGGGACCCCAGAACCCAAGTAATATTTGCAGACAAGATTCGACTCTCTTTTTGCCAGCTTTGTCCACCGTCTTCTTGACAAGGGTGTTCCTTCCGGGTGAAGCACTGGGCAACTTGTTGAAGAGAACCTAGTATGAGGGTATTCATATCATACAATGATAATATTATCATAGGTTATAGTTAGGACATTTGGGCTGCAAAAGTCTGACCAATGCATTCAAAGGATTGATGATGCACATTCCTGTGCGGAGAGTGTGGGCACGAAAACCTTGGAGGAAGGCAGACTGTCGCAAGAGGAATCTTCCAAGTGGCACATGCGTGAAAGCTTGACAGCTAGACGAAGACAACGCCCTCATGTCATCATCAGTCATCAGATTGGCTACAGGGTCAAGGTGGACGTCCCTTCGACAAACCGATGTTGTGCCTATTCTGGCAGCTTTCGTTTGCACAGAAGACATGAGTCGACTTCGAGCACTCCATCATGTGACAGTTGTTTACTATTGTTTGGGATTGTTTTGGCTTTAAAAACAAGCATCAATCCCCCCCACTTCCACCGATGCCCCACCATGTCCTGGTCAGGGCGTCAAGGGCACGCTTCAGCTGCTTCAAATCCAAAGGACGACGGAGGCTGGAGATACCGGGAAGAGTCCCCCATATCCTTGGGCACATGCAGGAGGGAACAGCACCAGAAACAGGTAAATAACTATCAGTTTGGTATGTTTTTGTCTTGCCGCCCAAAAAGGATCCCACATTACCAATGGAAATGACCAGTTCAAAATGAACAATGCCATATGGGGCCGATACATTATGCAATTGCTGACACATGATGACACCATCTCCAACCATAATCTCAGATAGGCTTCGTGGTGTACTTCATCGAAGGAGCACCCCAGGATCCCATGGGGAACGTAACTTTCCTGCAGGGGTCAACAAATCAATATCATCAACTCGAGCATTTAACTGAGGACACGTGGGCAGTCCTGGAATTGCACAGAATCAGAAATTTCTTGACTGGTGCCCAATCAAACAGGACCTGAGGTTAAGGGGAGAAGCCAGCTATTTATCTAAAAATGTTTCTAAATAACTCAATTAACTTTAACTTTGATGATTGCAACTTAGGACAGGGCTGAACTGATTGGCTGCTCCACCATTATGTGAATTCCACGACGCCATGCGTAGAACAGTCTTAGTTGGAAGCCATTGAACACATCATTGTTCTATGAATGGAGTGTCGTTTGATGTTTTTTGATATTTGTTGGTTTTCTCTTGAAGCTCGAAGCCAAGCAGCATGTACAGCATGCGCATCACAAAGATGTTTGCCAGCAAGACACACTTGGTGGGATACCCTTCTGGGTCAAGCCAAGTCCTCCCAGTACTGGGTGAAGACCTAAGGCCGTGAAAACTCCACTGCTCCCCACACTTCCCAAATCGCAACGAAACTGGTTGATAACCATTTTCTTTTGACAAGATTTACAAGTTGGACTAAGCTCACAATGTTTCACTCTTCAACATTGCCAATGCAGACAGGGGTCAAAAACACCCATGTGGAACATGGTGGTGCGAAGAACAATAGCCCTCCTGCCCGTGTGTTTCGTACCTGAGCCGTTTAATTTACATATGTTTTTGCCATAGGGTGATGTTGTGTACTATTGTGATGTTTAGCGTTGTGCGAAAGAGGGTTGTGGAATTCATCCATGTCAACACAAGATGTCGGGAAGTATTGCAACTCAACTAGTTGAGATGAGCAGCTGCTGCAAGTACCGATAGGAAGCCAACCGTTCGTAGCAGGTTGTGGTTCTTTGAGTAGACCACCTCAACATTTTTTGTTTGAGGGTTTGCCCTTCGTGGCAGATTTGTGTTGAGGCATCCAATATCAACCAAGACACATCAAAAGCTTTGCCCTGCCGGCCACTTCTCCAGAGAGCACGGCTCAGTTCACCTTGTCCACTGCACACCTCCACCTAGGAAACGCTTTGTAACGAACCCCTTGTGAGTTTGGACCCCATTTTCGAATATACAATCCTTTCAACCTTGCTAATGGTTCAAATCAAGGAACAAAGTCATTCGCTTCATGACTAGGAGGCAGCTCAATCTGCGAAAGTAAGGTGAGGATCACTAACAAGCGCTTCGGATCCATGGCCCTAATCCTAAGGAAAGTCCTCAGCCAAAATGCTGGTGTGTTGAAATCGTGCCTCAACCAAGGCCCATCCATGTTGTGTGATGGTCACTCCCACTCCCAAGTTGCAGGTCACAAGTACGCCCAAGCAGAAAGCACATTTTGGCACTGGCGAGGCACGGTCAATGTCCCTGCCGGAAAGTTCAGAACACAAGTGTGGCTCCAAGCCCCCAAAAGATATAAGAAAAAATGCAACTTGGGATGACAACCAGAACTTTGAGAGGGTGGTCTATGGTCCACGACTTGCCATTGATACCCCATTGCGGCGCGCCTGAAACCATATCCCCTGAAGAAATAACTCTGGTATAATTAGGGTGTGATCCAATATACATATGATAAGAATTGACAATTGAGATATAATGCACATTTGATGGTCCAGGGCATTTAAATTTGGGCATCCAACAACCTACTTGGACGCTGTCTTCGTCTTCTTAGTGGTCTTCGTCTTAGCGGTCACCTTTCTTTTGGTGCGTTTGGGCGGTGCTGATGACCCTTCCGTTTTGGAAATTGAAGCGGGAACAGTTTCCGAGTCCTTTTTTTTGTCCCTCAGAGACTTTTGGATCTCATTCAGCCTCTCCCAGCCAGTGAAGCCCGCAGTGCTTGCTGATCCCCTTAGATTGAAGCAATGGATTGATATAGAAAAGTTGCTGTTATGTTTAATTAATCATGTTGGGACTAAACATGACCCCGTACACCAATCATCAACCATATCAACCCATAGCCAAGTTTCTTAGTCCAGAGCTGTTGTCCTTTTGGGGTGATCCAAACCTTGTATAGTTGTCCAGCTGCTTTTCCTTCGAGTCGGCGACGAATCTCCACAGTCCACCCGTCCTGCGCGTCATTCACCCGGCACAGAAGTTCGTATTTCCTTAGCTACTCCATTCCATTCAAACCCAGAAGAGTGAACTATTCAAACATCATCATAAAACATATGAACAACCCAAATCAGAATCAAACAAGTACATCAATCGAGATAGGCTTCGCTGTTGCTAGTCTGGCATTTTTCTTTTCTCTGTGCTTGTTAATGAGGGCCAACTGCTCTGCTGGTAACGGGAGCTTTCCACCAGCTTTATCTAAGGCAACTTGCTGACATCTACCTATTGTAACACGAAAGGCGTTCGCGCTGAAGTCACTGAAGTCCTGGAATTTCTCCTCATGGACCAGCGTTTTTTTGTCCTTCATAGCCTGAAGGGAGTCGGCCACTAACACAATAAATTTCAAATTTGTAGATGCCATACTGAACCCTCGCTCCAAAGAGTGTGGAACCCCTCACCCCAAGCACCCGGAAAAGCCACGGCCGAGAGGCTCGCTCCTCCGGCTCTGGCTTCACCGAGGAGGCAGCAGACTGGGCAGAGTGGCAATCTGGCAGACCTGAGATGTGGTTTCAGTGGGTGACAAGGTACTACATCTGAACGATAACAACCAGATAATCCCAACATACCCCACGGGTTTATAATATCAAGCCTCGAAAAATAATGATGATATGGGGTTTTAAGTTCAATATAGCCTCAACATTTATAGCATCAATTATTTTTTTGAGCCTAGATGCCGGAAGACTTCTTTCGGATCCGCTTGGTAGGTGGTTCGGGTAGACGGGGTTCCTTCTCAAGGTCTCTGTCAAGCAAGTCTTCCAGCGGTTCTTCCTTCATATCCTCCTCTACCTTTCTTTTGCTTTCACTCTTCTTCTGCAAGACGGTTGCAAGAAACTTATCATATTGTTTTTGTGGATCAATCTTTGGTGCTTCCACTGATTCTGAAACATCCAGTTCACACAAAGCTTCTTGAGCAGTCAGATGTTGAAATTTCCCATTGCAGTAGTCCCAGTATCTCGTCATGTGAAGTGCGTCAAACGCTGCAAGTGTACTGGCCTCTTCCACGGCTGCCTCCAAACCTTTCGGTGGGGACTTGGTCACCTTCTTCCTTTGTGCTGGCCTTTTCATGACTGGTTGTTCATCTTCTTCATTGCTTTCACTGCTTGAAGCACTTGATGTAGAGGAGGTAGAAGATGAAGAAGAGTTTGAACTTTGACTGCCTTTCGAAACTTCCAACATCTCCGGTGCGAGTCCTTTCTTCAACAAAGACTGGGCGGCTGGGATCTGTAAGAGCGGATTGTCCTCACTACTTCCATCCTTCTCTTCATCTTCACTCTTCTTCTCGTCCTCCTCACTTTCTCCATTCTTCTCGTCCTCGCTCTTCTCATCATCTTCACATCTGCCGTCTTTCTTCTCTTGGCTCTTCTTCTCGTCCTCCTCACTTTCTCCATGCTTCTCGTCCTCGCTCTTCTCATCATCTTCACTTCTGCTGTCTTTCTTCTCCTCTGGGCTCTTCTTCTCGTCCTCCTCACTTTCTCCATCATTCTCGTCTTCGCTCTTCTCATCATCTTCACTTCTGCTGTCTTTCTTCTCCTCTTGGCTCTTCTTCTCGTCCTCCTCACTTTCTCCATCCTTCTCATCATCTTCGCTCCTCTGATCCTTGTCATGTCCTCCATCCATCTTTTCATCTTCGCTCTTCTTCTCATCCTCCTCACCTAGTCCATTTTTCTTTTCAACATCACTCTTCTCCTTTTCGTCCTCGCTGCTTCCATGCTTCTCATCTTGGCTCTCCTCATCCTCTTCATGTCTTCCTTCCATCTCTTCATCTTCACTCTTGTCGTTTTCATCACTTCCTGCATCATCCTTCTTGCCATTTTCGCTCTTCTCCTCATTGTCATCACTTCCTTCATCCTCAACTTCTTCACTCTTCTCTTCCTCCTCAGGTCTTCCTTCCATCTCTTCATCTTCGCTCTTATCATCCTTCTCATCACTTCCTTCCATCTCTTCGTCTTCCGCCATATCTTCATTCTCATCGCCTGCTTCATCCTTAACTTCTTCACTCTTCTCATCCTCAGGTCTTCCTTCCATCTCTTCATCTTCGCTCTTATCGTCCTTCTCATCACTTCCTTCCATCACTTCATCTTCACTGCCTCCAACCTTCTTTTCATCACCTTTTTTATCCTCATCATCCTCACTCCTTCCATCCTTCTCTTCATCTTCACTCTTCTTCTCGTCCTCCTCACTTTCTCCATTCTTCTCGTCCTCGCTCTTCTCATCATCTTCACATCTGCCGTCTTTCTTCTCCTCTGGGCTCTTCTTCTCGTCCTCCTCACTTTCTCCATCCTTCTCGTCTTCGCTCTTCTCATCATCTTCACTTTCGCTGTCCTTCTTCTCTTGGCTCTTCTTCTCGTCCTCCTCACTTTCTCCATCCTTCTCGTCCTCGCTCTTCTCATCATCTTCACTTCTGCTGTCTTTCTTCTCCTCTGGGCTTTTCTTCTCGTCCTCCTCACTTTCTCCATCCTTCTCGTCTTCGCTCTTCTCATCATCTTCACTTCTGCTGTCTTTCTTCTCCTCTTGGCTCTTCTTCTCGTCCTCCTCACTTTCTCCATCCTTCTCATCATCTTCGCTCTTCTCATCCTTTTCACTTGCTCCATCCTTCTCTTCATCTTCGCTCTTCTCGTCCTCTTCACTTTCTCCACACTGCTCATCTCCGCTCTTCTTCGTGTCCTCGTCCGAGTCAGCATCCGGGAGTGGAGGGGTCTTTTGCTGCCATCTGGGCAGCGTGTGTTTTCAGAACCATACATTATGACAAACCCAACCATGATTCATCAAATCATTTTTGGACATTTGGATGATGCACCTTGCTTATGACCAATTTCATTCGTGTACCATTTAATCCCCAATTCACTTCCTAGCCTCTTCGTTACTTTTTCCTTTCGTCTTAGCCTTATCCATTTGTTCTTCTTCACTTTGGTCCTGCGAGGGCTGCTGGAGATGAGCGGACAATAAGATATAAGTATGCATCACACGAAGGTTTCTCATGGGTTGTATAAGATCGAGGTGCATCTTAGAGAGAGAGAGAGAGATATATATATATATCCTATCACATTGGGGTCAAACAGGTGTGAAGTTCAGCTACCAAAGTGGACCCAGAAAAGAACGCAGAAAACAAATTATACTTATCCCAACTCAATTTAGGCAATGCGCCTCATCATCTGTAGGGGGCTCCGATTCCGAAGCTTCATGGCCAAGTGGTATGTCACCAATTGTGGGAAGGGTTCCTGACATCATCCTTGGGCAATGCGATCGGAAGTAAAAGATAACATTGTATCATACCCCAAGGCCCACAATTATTTGGTAGGTAACTTGTTTTTTTTGCCCAGGTGTCATTTCGGTGGCATCGATCTTGGGAATCTCACCGGAGTATTCAGAATCGACTGGTTGTGTCTCCAACTGGTCCATGGATGACCTAAGGTCGCCGAGGGCAAATATTGGTTAAGGACTCATGAATTTCACTCACAGTGAAAATTACCCAAACAAATTGTGAGAAATAACAAAAATGTTCTAACCTTGATTCAAGCGACCCCCTAGACTTCTGACTGTCATGTGGGGATTGCAAGGGGTATCCCCGTCGGCTAGCTCTGGTGTGCTTCAGGAGCACGTCATGGCAAAGAAATGCCTTAGATTCATTGGTTTTCCAGGAAGCCAATTTTCTAACAAGTTCAGAATTGAATGCCCCAAACAATAAAATTTTAATTTGATGGGATACTTGCTGACGGATCCATTCGTCACGAGCATCAGCAGATAATTTCGATCCTTAGATGTTCATGAGGCTGTCGCCAATTGTCAAAAAATATGCTATCCTTCCAATGGTTTGTCAAAGACACAAGAGTCACAACCCAGTTGAGTTGAAAATCACCCCAACAATACAAATCAAGGATCCCAGTTTTCTCTTGGCCGCCAACTTTGCCACCACCAGTCGGATCTGACTCTCCCGGGGAACTTTAGAAAGACCGCTATGTTTGAAAGATGACCTTAACCATAAGTTTCCCCTTGATCTCAAGTCCCCACCATTCACAAGGTCCTGATCGCAGGATATATCATCGGGGGCCCGGTCCAGCATTTGCTGGGCCAACTTCCTTAGATGCATGGCTGAGTCACCAATAACCCCTCGATGCCCACTTAGCCACAAAAGTTCCCATTGTCCCCTTGTGATCACCCCCCAAGCAACCTTAACAATATCCAAGTATCTTCGACCCAGGTGATATAGATGTTTGCGGCATGGCTCCACACAGCGCAGAGTAAGTTGAAGTGTGAAACTTAATAAATTAGTGAAAACTGCTGTGTTAAGGTTCTAGATGGTTCTGGTTAATCATGTCTAGACTCTATCTTATCCACACTGATCCCACTGCCTGGTTGGACTCAGTTGCCTTGCGCCCCTCGCAGGCTGCGGTGGCAATTGGCAAAGTGTCAACCTGCAATTGGTCAACCTGGAATTGGGCGGTTTATGTGGCAATTGATTAAGCTAATCAATATATATGAGAATCTATGATGTATGATGCATCCACAAATGACACGATGCAAACGTACCACAATTGGTGACCTTTGCAAACGGCCTATGATTGGCCAGCCATTGGGTGGTGCTGGTATAGATATAGATATACATATATATATAGATTAAAAAAAATATATATACATATTAGGCTATTTGACGACATTGGTTTGACTATTCCAATACATAATCTGTTTGTGAGCATGATTGCCATGATTGCAACCATTTGCTATGGGTAGAATATCTAAATATATCTAAATATATATAAATATATCTAAATGTATCTTAATGTATCTTAATATATTTAAATATATCATATCTAAATATTTCCGAATCTATCTGAATATATCTGAATATATCTAAATATATCTAAATATATTTAAATATATCTTAATATATCTAAATATACCTCAATATACCGAAATATATCTAAATGTATACAATGTGGCGTCCCTGCAGGGAAGTGTTTTTTCCCATTCATTTGTATAGACGTATCCAAACAAAAACTTTGAAACTAAATGAAATTATAGTTCACCAACTTACTTATCTTTTGGGCCCCCACATTTTAAGTGTGACTCATCCACGGTTACTTCTGATGATGAAACCATTCAGCTCTACCATCGTTGAGGGTTGCCGCCTTAAATGGAAATGGTTCAAACATGACCGCAAAGGATGTTTCTGGTTAATAAATGGTATCAATGACCATTAATGTACCTGAGGGTTGTCCGATTCAACTGGTTTGTACCATACTGATGAACAGGGACATACCCAATTCCCATCGGTCAAAATGTTGTTTTTTTGGACACCCAAAAGCCAAGGTGTTGCCCCATACAAAAAAAAAACACTTGGTTTGTCATGTTTTTTTTTGCCAGCATGTTGAGGTTTCCTAAATCGTTGGGGTACCCCTAGTTAACATCAATTTATAAATTGATGTTCCATGAAATAAACCATCCAGTGATTGGGGTACGCACATTTTTGGAACCCCCCATTCTGTGGGATGTCCATCCTTACCGAAATTTCCCAGGACCAAAGGTTGTGGGGTGTACAAGTGCATAGCATGTCTCCGGCTGAAGCGTTGGCTGAAGTGGTAAAGCGGAGAGATACTCTCTAACGGCTTAGTCAACCAAAATATTTTGTGGATGACATCATTTATGTATATATAATTATATATATATATGTATTTCTAGATCTAAGAGCGAGGGAACCACATGCTTCATTTTGTGCACTTCCAAATTGTCCAATTTCAATCAGCTCCCACTCTTGAATCCATTGCCATAGCTATTGCAATACCCCTGGACAGTAAAGTCAAAAGAACGAATCACTTTTGGAAAACCTGCAACCGGCTGGCCCAAACGGTCTATCCGGATGGTTTCGGCTGGCATGGATCACACAGTGCTTCTCCGAAGTGATGGTACTGTTGTGGCTTGTGGAAGTAATAATGATGGACAATGCAACCTTCCCCCTCTGGATGAGGGAATTACCTACACCCAAGTTTCTGCAGGTGGAGGTCATACCGTCTTACTTCGTAGTGATGGTGTTGCTGTGGCTTGTGGACGGAATGAGGATTTTCAATGCGATATTCCGCCCCTGCCTGAGGCAATGGTATACACTCAGGTTTCTGCCGGCGCAGATCATACAATGCTTCTTCGCAGTGATGGCCATGTTGCTCACTGCGGAAGTACTGTTTATGGGCAATGCCAGGTTCCACCTTTGGATGAGGGAATGTCATACACCCAGGTTTCAGCTGGGGGTTTTCATACAATTTTCCTCCGAAGTGATGGCTGTGCCGTGGCTTGTGGGGATAATGACCATGGGCAGTGCGATATTCCATCGATTGATCAAGGACTGTCATACACCCAGGTGTCCGCAGGCTGGTGTCATACACTGCTTCTTCGAAGTGATGGCTGTGCTACTGCTTTTGGATATAACCTTCGTGGCCAATGCGATCTTCCCAATGACGAGGGTTTCATGTTCTACAGCCAGGTTTCTGCAGGCACAAATCACTCTGCGTTTCTGCAAAGTGATGGCTGTGTTGTGATTTGCGGAAGTATGGACTGTCAGATTCCACCGTCCGCTGTGTCACACACTGTGGGAATTTCCGCGGGTGGGGATCACACATTGTTTTTGCAAAGCGATGGCCGTGTGCTTGCTTTGGGGGGAAATCGTGATGGAGAATGCAACATTCCCCGATTAAAGCCCGGAATGCGCTATATTAGCGATCAAATGCCAGACATTATACTACAACTTGAGTTTGTGATTGCAGATGATGTTGTGACGCTCATTTGTTCCAACTTCGCTGGGGAAGAACAGGTAAGGCTCAATGCCAATGTGTCTGATCGGGCTACGGATTCTTACAAGAACATTGCAGTTGAACTGAAAGCCAACCTCCAAAGTCTTCGAGTGGTTTTGCCCGACGGAGAACTGTTGGCATCGATGTGCCGTGCAAATCCACTTGCCACCATTGGAGATTTATTGCACATATGAGCGAACATTACATGCACTTGGCATCGTTTTTGGGCCATAGTTTCTTTATGTTTTTCAGGTCAGATCCACAATTGTGTCATCAAAAAGTGAGTGATCCAATTTGGGATGGCGATGCCGCCAGGACCATGTGGCCCCGTCTCTGGCCCTATGTGTTTTGTTTTGTAATCCCCCCAATATGTGAAGATTGAAAATCACCAACGAATCCACTACAGGGTTGCTGGTCTCCTTGTAGATCCCTTAAGGGAAGCGTCCCCCTTGCCTTTGCATATTTCCTATATGGCTAGACACAACCCCCCTAGAGGTGGACATATTTACTGTCTTTTCAGTGGAACATGCATGAGATAGAGATATGTACCTTGACCCTCAAAGTATTCTGAAAACATGGAAAAACCACATTTTTTTTGATGTAATGAGTGAAAAGCTATGCTTTTGGGCTTATATATCATGAGGGTCTAGGTACTTGTTCAGGCTATAACATCGCACAACGTGGGCACCCCAGTCATGGCCGCTGGCTGTCTAAATAATAGAGCCATCTCACTAGTTCGATGTTGTTCGATATAGCTACCATAAACCAAAGTAAACTTAGTTCAACCAACTTTGCTGTCATAAATTGTTGATAATTCCGTGATAATTCCCTATGTTTGTTGCGTTTTAAATCAGCATGTGTTTTTTCCGGCGCATTCTGGTGATGTTCCAAAGAACCCAGTTGCAGGAGACGAAGTTCAGCACGGGAGCTCAGCAATCCTCAGTGAACTGTTTGCTGATTTTTAACCACCATGAAATCTACATTTGTAATATGTCACAATTAATGTTACTAACATATTGTAACTATGGTTTTCATTTACTAACATATTGTAACTATGGTTTTCATAGTGGTTCTAGACGGTTTAACAATAATCACAGTTCATTGGTTACGATATTAAATGTGGGCAACCCAATGCCATAAACCTACCATGACTGGGGATGGCTGGAATTCCGCCTTAGTATTGGGTTTACTATTGGGTTTACCACATTACCATAAACCCAAACCGTTATACATTCGTATCATGAGTGATCAAAACAAAGGCATCTATCGTAAACGGGGGCCCCGCCTTGTATATCTACAGTGTCTTATGGGGTAAACACCCAGTTTTTTGGGGTAGATAGATATAGTAACTTATAGTACAGTATCTACTGTTTACTACTGGTTCTGGAAAAAGGAAGAGCACAATGGTTGTCCTATCTCGTAGTGTTTGGTATATCTACCATTATCTCCCACTCATTCTTATATTTAATGATTCACATTGGTTGTCTACTATACTTCCGCAAAAAGGTTATTTCTACATCTCCCACATGTAACACCGAAAGTAATAATTGGGCCCCAGTTAGATGATTCTACTACTGGATACACAATATAGCCCTTAAATGTCCTTCAAATTGGGTTTCATCTGAAAATTTGGCGGATATACTAGTAAAACGATGTAATCCAACTTACCATGTGCGGGGGTCCATGTCAATGGTTTAGTAGGTGTATTTGATGTATTTGTTGTTGGAATATGATACATTTCCCCCTCACATGGTCTACCCCTTGCCTGCTGGCTGCATCTTCAGCAGGTATTCCATTGACCTCCTCCCAGGCGAGTTCGCTAAGCATTATGACCATGTTAATGATGTTGGTTCTTATGCAGATGATTTGGTTTTACTACTTGTATAGTATGAATATATACACTGTATATACTATATATATACATATATGTATGTATAGTTAGATGTATTTTGTAGTGTTTTTTGGTGATCATTGCTACACGTCGATGGTCATCATAAAGGGACATGAACTATAGTAACTATAGTAACTATATTATTACCGTTATATAAATCACCAGTTTGTTTTGGCAGTGATTATGGTGATGACGTTGGTGACGTTGCTGATGACCTAGCCACAGGCCGACGTCAGGATCCTTACCCCACCTTTGACCTTTTGGTCTCTGAGTCGGATGACGCCCAACAGGCCAGGAATGGCCAGGTTTTGGTCGGGCTTGACATGGCTTGACCGTCAAGCCAACAAAGCGATGGCTGGATCAATGGACAGTATCTTAAACGATTAAACTATAGCAATCTACAGTTATGGCCATTTACCAGTTATAAGTGGTTATAAATGGGATTATACATTCTATAAATGGGGTTATAAGTACCTATAACTGATAAATGGCCATAACTGTATAGGCAAAAAAATGCGAATCATAGATAGTTAGATAGTTAGATTCAAATAGGCTGGATTAGATTTCATTAGTCAAGATGAGATTGGATGAGATTGATAGATGTGGATAGAGTATAAAGACCTGCAAATATGGTCAGTAGGGATAACTATCCCAAAATTGTTGCTTTGTTCTAGATCAGTGATTTCCAGATATAAACGTCATGTTGTGTATATTTAATCCATATGCTCCATGTATGGAATGTTCATCTACATTCGGACCATTATTTTATATGATTTTTCTGCATATGTTGGTACATATTCCAATATAAATTCCATACATGGAGGATACCTGGTATTGTGATTTATGGTTGACAAGTTTCTTTGGCTTGGTGGAGCAACAAGCAGCGCAGAGTTGATCGTGTTTATGGTTTGTTTCTTTTTTGGGGTGAGGGATCTTACCATTTGGGTGGTCATGTCATGAAGAATAAACGACCTCACTGCGACCGAACCCTGGAATCATGGTTAGTAAGAGGTATCATCCCCATTCATGGCCGAACTATTCAGATTAGTGAAATATTATAATTTACCCAGATATGTGGTTTTGCCCTCGTTTATCAACTTGCATGTGTTGTGCAGTTCATCATTTTAAGGCTTTGCCAGTCACAACACAGTCATCAACGAGTGGTTCGAAAGCTGGCCGACCCCAACTCTGTATGACCTAGTCATATGAGTATCTTGTTTAAGCGGTGATGATGATATCCAGAAACTGTACATCATTTCCCAGAACTCTTCTGGAACCGTACCGTGCATGTTTTTTCATTTTCTTAAATCAATCATGGTTGTTTTTCACCACTGTCATCCACTGTCGTTGAACTAGAAGTCAGCCAGCCATCTTGTGGATCGAAAAAACTGGTCCTTCGGATGGTAGCAGCAAGTAGCTAGAGCAGCCATGACATTCCCATGACTAGTGACTAGCCCCACCTGACCACCAACTAGCCATGACTAATGTTTTTTTTCTTGGAGTCAGAGATGATTTTAATATTTTAAATGGAGAAGATGCTTAAATATGCTTACAAGATGGTGCTCCGCTGTTATAAGTTGGTTTAGACGGTTTGTTGGTTCACTCTATCAACTGTAGATTCATACCGTTCCAACGGCCTCACCCTTCACTTCGGAACGCAAGTATGGTATGATCCAGACATTGCCCAGATATTTAAATGGTGGTTTCCTGAAATGGTGGTAACCCCAAATCATCGATTTATAGAGGTATAAACCACTATAAACCACTATTGATGACATTCCCAAGAGTGGTTTTTGATAGGATTTTCCGCTATAAACCATCAATTTTGGGGTACCCCCTGACTATGGAAAGCCTCTTTTTGATCCAGCGACCTTTATCGACTGGAATCCCCAAGACAGCGGAGGAGTTGACAAGTTCCAGGGGGCCCGGTTGGTCCTGGGCAGATTGTAGCCATCTCGGAATGACAGAGGAATACAGAGGAATTCTCCCTTTTGAATCCTTTTGAATGGTTTATTTTAAGGCTTGGGAGCTAATGAAACAATGTTTCTTCTCAAAAAAAAAAGGCTCCAAATGGATCCAAATGGTAGAAAATCATGGGGGAAATTCCCAGTGGTTTGGGAATTACATGTTTTTTCCTCAACAAAAAATTGCTTTATGTGGGAATGATTAATCTTTACCCATAGGTTCTTTGGTGCAACATGTGCAAATCCCAGTTTGTGTTTGGGTTGCGCAGGTGGTTCCTCACGTTTGTTCCAGACCGGGAGAGGCCGCGGAAGCGGGGATGGTGCCGATGGAGTGCCATTTAGGGTTGATAGGATGATGGTCACCACCCATGTGAGTCTTAATTTTGGGGATGATCACATCTGCACCATGTGTATGTTAAAAATCATCATGTGATTGATTGGTTTTCCTACATCATGTTTTTTTGTTAACGTGTAATTCAGCTGATATATGCATGCTACTATAGCAGCATATCGTAGCCATGGTCATGCACTATTTAGGGCCAAAAACTGAGCTGGGGAGCCGCAGATGGATTGATTAGGAGTTTCCATGAGTGTCCCGAGGTAAATAGAAGCTTGAGTTGGAAAGGCAACGGACCAAATGGACCATGGCTTCGCAAAGCGTTAAATTCACAGACGGTATTTCACACGAAATTTGAATCAACCATGGGAGTTGAAAGATTGACCAAAGCTATCGATATACATGGTGGTGCCCCCCGGTGAAATATGTCTTGGTTTAGTTTCACCCCAGGAACTCTGGTGACACTTACCATATAGATGAGCTTGAAATGAACTTCACAATTCCAAACTGGCGCACCACCCTGTAATGATCTCCCATTGTATCTGCCAGCATGTTTGGCATTTCTCTGGTTAAATCATTAAGTAAATCACCATTTTCCCCCTATTGGAGCTGCTATTCTCACCGATGATGCTTTGGCCAGGCCTATGTGATCCGGGTCACGAATTCCTCGCGACGGCACATTGCCTGTGACGGGAGATCCCAGAGCAATCCATGGACCCCATGGACCCATGGCCCGTTTGTCATGGTAAAAAAGTAGTGGCATGTAGTGCAGTTATGGCCATGGCTACCAGTTATAACTGGTTGTTTCAATGGGATGAGAAACATTCTATAATTAAATGGGGTGACTTGTTAGTACTTATAGCTGATAATGGCCATAACTGTGGCTAATAGAGGTTAATGATGGTTGATAGTGGTTAAGAACATTGAGATTCATGATAAAAAAAGTGTTTTTGTTTTTGTGATTTGTGTTTTTTGCTGGCATTAGCCTTTGGAAATTAAACATGCCTAGCTGAGAAATCCCAGATGTTTGGCGTTTTTAGCCTGAAATCAAGGGAGCTCTGAGTTTCTCACCGCCCCATTGGAA